CCTCCGTCCAGGACGACCCATTGTTTTGGGGAATCAGCCACGTGCCACTCCAGGATTCGTTGAAGTGTGGCGGCTTGATGGTATCTTTTGAAGTCCGGGAGCGCCAGGCCACCCCCAAGTCTAGGTAGGCAGAGTATGTTGTGGCGCAGTCTAGACCTCTCATCTTGAGTACCGCGATTCGTCCATGCCAGGTGATGTGTGGATATGCCCATCTGTCGAGATCTGAGGTTACCTGTCATAGGATGGTGGCAAAGTTATGTCGATAAAGTTCCTGCGGATTTGTGGTGATCCACACGCCAAGATATTTCATTTTCTCTGTGCACCAGCGGAACGGAAAGACTGTTCCCAATTCCAGGTATTCTTCCGGTGGAAAGGTTAGATTGAGCACTTCACATTTTGAAAGATTAAGTTTGAATCCTGCGATTTTCCCGAATTTTTTGAATTCTAGAAGTAAGCAGGGCATCGTGACCCGTGGGTTAGAGATAAAGAAGACAAGGTTGTCTGCATATGCGGCCACCTTGTGCTCCGTTCCCCTCCAATTGTATCCCAAGATGTCTGGGTTATGGCGTATCGCGTGTAATAGTGGTTCCAGGGTGATTGCGAATAGGAGTGGCGACAGGGGGCATCCCTGTCTAGTTCCATTATGTATTTCGAAGCCAGAGGTAAGGGCCCCGTTCACCCGGATAATTGCGTGTGGTTTATTATACAAGGCAGAGATCCACGTCATCATGTTCTGTCCTAGTCCCATGGCCCGTAGAGTGTCCATCATGTATGACCAATTAACACGGTAGAAGGCCTTTTCGGCGTCTGTGGAAAGGAGCAAGATCTTGTCCCGCGTCTCCCGTGCCCTGTGTTGTATGGAGAAGAGGCGCAGTGTACTGTCCCGCGCGTCCCTCCCCGGTATAAACCCCGTCTGGTCTGCATGGATCAGGCTTGGCAGTACACGTTGTAGCCTAGTTGCTAGTACCTTCGTAAGCAGTTTCGTATCCACGTTTAGTAAGGATATTGGTCGGTAACTGCTGCAATGTTCCGGGTCTTTCCCTGGTTTGAGCAGGACCGTGATAGTGGCGGCTAGTGATTCCGCTCCGAATCTTTTTCCCCCGGTGATGGTATTGACCGCTGTAGTTAGTCGAGGTAGGAGAATTGAGGAGAAGCATTTGTAATAACCTATGGAAAATCCATCTGGTCCCGGTGCCTTGCCCGCTTTAGCACTCTTCAAGGCTGCGGCCATTTCCTCAATGCTAATCGGTTCATCCAACATATTCGCCGCTTCCAGGGATACACGTCTGCCTACGTTGTCATGTAGGTAGTCTCGAATAAGTGTGTTGGCGCGGTGTCCCACCGGCGTGTCTTCAGGGCCATGTAGATTATACAGGGCGTGGTAATATCGTTGGAATTCATTGGCGATGTCCTCAGGAAATTGGGACACTTTCCCTGATTGTAGACGTATTTTATGTATTGGTGTGCGGGGAGCATCGCCTTTCAGGATGCGGGCGAGGTATTTGCCTCCTTTGTTAGCATAGATATAGAAAAAGTTCTTGGAGTGTTGTAGTGAGCGGTAGTATCGTTTCGTGAGAAGATCTTTCAATCTGCGCCGGGCATCTGTCAGGTCTTGTCGGACAGTGGCAAGTTGGGTTTGTTTGTGTTGGAGTTCCAGCTTCGAAATAGTTCCATATAGGGCCGCCATTTCCTGCATGGTTGCCTTCCTTCGTCGGGAGGCTATTTTTATAAGTATGCCGCGGATGGTACTCTTGTGAGCTTCCCAGAGTACGATTGGAGATGTGTCTGACACATCATTTTCTTTGAAGTAAAGGTCAAGAGCTCGTGTGATTTCACTTTCCACCTCGGGGTCCTGTAGCAAGGATTCATTCAGACGCCAAGTCCATGTTGCTGGTTTGAACAGTGGCGATTCTAGTTCCACCGTTACCGGACCGTGATCCGATCACGTAGCGGGGTCTATTGCGGCCTTCTTCAGTCGCGACAAGCCTTCCTGTTGTATTAGTATGTAGTCGATCCGCGAGTAGCGGTTGTGGAGCGCGGAGTAGTGGGTGTAATCTTTGACATCCGGGTTGAGCACTCTCCAGCAGTCCACCAGTCCCAAGTTACCCATCGACTTACGTATCGAGTGGATGCTAGATATAGGCATACAACAGTGTCCCGTGGATGTGTCCATCTGAGGGTTCAGCGGGGCATTGAGATCACCCCCCACAACGAGTGTGCCTTCCGAGAATCCACTCAGTTTGCTCATTGTTCTCCGAAGGAAACGTGCCTGGTTTTTGTTGGGCACGTAGATGGAAGCCAGGGTATACATTCTGTCCGCTATCGTGCCCTTTAGGAAGAGGAATCTCCCCAGTTTGTCAGTTACCTTATCTAGTTCTTTGAAGTCCAGTTCAGCTGCAAGGACGATAGCGACTCCTGCTTTACGGGTCGTGGGATGATTGCTGAAGAAGTTGTTGGGGTATTGCCGGTTACGGAGTTTAGGTGCAGACCCCTCGAGGAAGTGAGTTTCCTGGAGCATTGCTATGGAGATCCGTTTTTTCCGTAGTTCCCGAAGCAGATGGGTGCGTCGTTCCGGTATGTTCAGGCCTCGACAGTTGAGAGCCATAACAGCGAGCGGAGCACTGAGGTATGCCATCGTCGATCCGTCAGCCAGGCCAGGACACGCGGAAACCCCAGCACCAGGTCCTATAGTACAATTAGCGGGAGATCCGTCCACGTTCCCTCAAAGTCACCCAGTAGTCAGTCCACAGTGTAGCCGCGGAGGTGGTGGGTCGAACGGCGTGGAATCTCCGAGTACACAGGGATCCCACCCCGCGACCGGTGCTATGTCAAGTCGTCAGGTGCGTAAGGTTGTGGGTCTATATACGTTGTCCTTATGGGGTAAGCTTAAAGTGAATAGGGTAGTAGGGGCGATAAGTGTACCCGCACACGGGGCGCACCCTAGGGTCGGGGGGGGTGTCATAGGTCCGCCAAGGTAGGTTGTAGAGTGAGGAAAGTACGTAGGTTAAAAAAGTGGGGAGTTATAGAGAATCCCACGTAGAGGTGACCCCGAGAAGGGGAAAGAAAAGTGTCCACCTCGGTCCTCCTTTGTGGAAAGGAGGGTGTAGCCGTGCGATGGCAAGAGGTACCCGGGCCCACCCAGGTAACCGGACCGGGGTGTGGGCCTACGGGAAGCTCCGACGTCTAGAGCTATGCACGGCCCTTAGTAGGGGTTAGCAGCCCCGCCCCAAACCTTAATGGACCAAAAGTGAGAGTGTTGTAACCGATCAACACTAACCAGCTCCTCTCCGCCAGCCCCCCAGCCTGGTGCCGGTATCAGTACATGGAAAGCCAGACGTATAAACAATAGCATACATACATTTCAACATTGTAACATATGAAGACAGTATTCAGAGCCCAATCGGCTCGCCCCCACCAATGCCCCGTCCCCCGTCCTCCCCAATTCCCAGGTCCTGGGTACGCCTCCTGCATCCTGGACATTAGTCAATGAAAAACAAATAACGCATAAGCAACAGCATCACGTACATTAGTCATGCATACATAATATGATGTCATTATTATGATTTCCTTCTCCTGTCATTCCACTCTTCCTTTCTCCTCCTCTTTTCCCTCCCTTTTCCCCCTCCCCTCCCCTCCTCCTTTCCTTGTTCCCGTCTCATTCCCTTTCCCCCTTTCCCTCCCCCCTTCTTTTCCTTTTCTTACTTTCCCCCCTTCTTTCTTCCTTCCCCCCCCTCTGCTTACCCTTTGTGGGGCAAATGGGAGATATACTCAATGATGTGTCTGTGAAATATGGCCCGGGTGCATCCCCTCTATGTCCCAATACTATCCCCCTCCACATCTATCTAGGCTAAGTCCTCCTATCTGTTTCTGCGGGTGTGGTATGGCGAGTGCCCTCTACCCCTGGTTATGGCAGCCCATCGAGCAACTATCCAGTGTATAATGTGCTCTACCCACTTATCTGCTGTTACGTGTTGGAGGAAAAATATCACGTGTTGGTGGAGTGTGGCTTAACTAGTGAGTGGTCTATGAGTTCCAGGGAGGGGCCGTGTATAAAGCTATTGATGTGTCTTATTCCCTGGGTGTCGTGTGGTTATTGTAGCCAATTATTCTAGGCACAAGACATGTAGATCATTGGGACCGAGCATAACCATTGGCTTGTGCACAAGGGCAATGTCCTGTACCGTAAGACCGCGGTGAGCTTCTCCTGTGGTGACAGCGTAGTGCAGGAAATCCAGTTCCTCGCTCGATGGAGGCTCGTGCAGTGGTGTATGTTCATCCCCTAAGAACCCGGCTCGTCGTGTCATCCAGAGCTTGTGCTATGTCGCCCTCATCCGCTTGTTACAGAGGCTCCACTCGGTCCGCATAACAAGTGCCACCCGGTTTCCCCACCCCAAGTCTTATTCCCAGGTGATGGTAGGGCAAGCTGTGTTCAAACTCAGTCTCGGCAGGGATGAGAGGAAAGAGAAAAAAAAAAAATTATATATGTACGTTACATCTGCGTTATCGAGCTGGGTAAGTCCCCAAATCCTCCAGCAGTGTAGCATGCTCAAGCATGCTGGGTGTCGTGAAAGCTATGGCAAGTGGAGGTCCTCCAGGTGGGGGTGAGGGCCAGGGAAACGTGCCTGGTGCCTCCGGGTTGTTGCACCTGCGTTGCGCTGGTCCCTGTGGAGGTCCCCCTCCTCGCCTCCTGGGTGCTCTTTGCGGCTGGGATCTCCCCCCCAGTGGGCCCAGAACCCAGTCAGGGACCGAGATTTGCGGTAGATCCATTTCCTCTAGAAATCTCGGAATCTCCTCGGGCCAACGAATGGAGGTCCATCCATTCTGGTGGCGGGCCAACAAGGCAAAGGGATAGCCCCATCTGTATTGGATATTCCTCTCTTGCAGGGCCGCTGTTATGGGCTTCAGTGCCCTCCTGGCCTCCAGCGTAATGGGGGAAAGATCATTGAATAGGGATATCATTGCGTCCCTGAAATTCCAAGTAGGTCTAGATCTGGCCGCTTTCATGATGGCATGATGTTTCGGAAGGAACTGAGGCAGCATATTATATCTCTCGGGTTGTCGTCCGACGACCTGGGGCGCAGTGCCCTGTGCGCCCGCTCATATCTGAATGTGTGTGGAGCATCCGCTCCCAGGATCATGTCAAAGAGGTTGTTTAGAGTGTTTTCAATAGTTTCCCCGTCAGATTCAGGGACCCCGCGGACCCTAATGTTGCATCTCCTCCCCCTATTGTCCAGGTCCTCTATTGTCCTCCTCATGTGTAGTAGCATTTCCCCTTGGCGTGCGAGGGCCGTATCGGTCGCCTGCAGCCTTGTGGCCTGAGTTTCCTGAGAGTGCTCCAGGTCTTGTATGCGGCCTGTATGGGCAGTTACCTCTGACCGGATTCCTGCAATCTCGGCTCGCAGTGCGTCTTGTATGGAGGTGGTGTGTACCAGGAGGTCTGCTTTTGTGGCCATAGCAGCAGCCATTGATCTGATCTCCTCCCCGATCCCCTCTAGTGTAGCGCCATGAGGTTCTCTGGGGGACGGCTCTGCCGGCGCCATGTTGGATCCGCTCGCCTCCCCGCTCATGTCGGCTTGGTTGTGGAGGAAACCATCCATCGGGCCGTGAGTGTGCCCTCTCTGGGAGCCCCTCGGGGTCTGGGGGGGCATCAGTGCGGCGGTGGCGTCCCATGTGTGCTAAAAATAGCTAATTAATAGGCTGTGGTAGGTGCTGGCGGGTCGGAGCTCAAACTCTATGCGTCCATCTCGTTCAGAGCTCAGGCCACGCCCCCAATTAACATATAAATTAACATATAAATTACACTTATTGCCCTTCAGCCTCCAACTTAAATAACCGTCCTTGCCAACGAACTTAACCAGGTGCCTATGCACCAAAACTTTACCCACTGGTGTCTTGCCTCCCCCCTCGTCCAAACCAAAAATTCCCATCATCTTAACTGCTCTACCACCAGCCGGCTTTTTGCTCGGTGGGCACGTCCTATTCGGTAACTTAAAAGTTTACCTTACAGAGCAGGGGAGGTTGAGACCCACCATTTCCATCTCCTGACATTCCATCTGCTCCCCAACCCTGTTGGCAAGGACACGCTCCCCGCTAGCTGTGACGGAACAAAAACAGAAAATTAGGGTGGGTGGGTGGGAAGTTGTTTGCTGGCCAGAATCCCAAAAGGCACTGAGGTAAGATGATCCCTGCCCCACTACAAACCCATAACCACTCCCCTAAACACATATAGCCAATCACTAGCACCATCCCCACACTCATACATGTGCCCTTGTCCGTTTAGCTATGCTGACTCCCCAGGGCCTAATACCTCTCCCTATACAACCAAGCATTCTGCTAGCATTTCCTGCTGCTCTATTACATTGTCTGCCTACCTTTAAGTCATCAGAAATAATCACCCTTAAACCCCTAGTAACACACATCTGACATAGAGCCCTAGACTTTATGAGGCCTTAGGAGAAACTCAAAAATGAGGCCCCCAACTAACACCCATAGTGAAGCAATAAATAGGGGTTGCATTGTGAGGACTTGCAGTGCTGGATACAAAGAGCGAGTCTCTGCATTCATTGTTCAGAGGATCGCAGTGTCGCCAGCTCTCCAACTGTAGTTATAGCATGAATTGCAAACTAAATTAGTTTGCAATAGTTTGCAGTAAACAAATTTAAATTGTAATTATGCTAATAATTTATATACAATTCGTATATACAAAAGTGCCGGTGTGAAGGAGTTATTGGAAACAAACATTTTGATTGGACAAAAAAAGCTTTTAAAAAATCATTTACCAAATAATAAAAGTTACAGATAGAAATTGTTCCTATACATTCTACAATACTTTTACATTTATATTATCCAAAATGTTCTTTAGATTGTTTCCCCCGTGTTTTGTATATGTGTAGTATATTAAATATTATATATGTTGCCACTTTACCTTTGCATTGTTTGTACCATACCACCATCACATAGCAGCCATAGGCACACACAATAATACATGCACACATATAGACTAATACACAGATGCATATATACACTGATACATGCACATGCATAAACACACACAAACAAACCGATGCACACACATTGACAAATACAGTCACAATGTGTGAACATGGTGACAGTGATGTGGGGAGGGGTGTATGCATGGTGACAGTGGTGTGGGGGCAGTGTGACAGTGGTGTGGGGGGGCAGTATTACAGTGGTGTGGGGGGCAGTGTGTGCATGGTGACTGTGATCTGTGGCTATATTTTAAATGCGAAGAAAAAACACTTTTTA